GGGTCGCCGTCCGCGCTCGACTCTGGAAATGTTCTCCGGAGCAAGTGAGGCTGGCCAGCTCCGACGAGGAGTGCGGCCTCCAGCTGGCCCAAGACCCCCGTTGGCAAGAGCTGCTGCAGCAAGCCAGGACCCGCAGGGTCTCGGCCGTCGACGTGCAGCGTGAGGGAGCCCCGCCAGATGAGGCCTGGGATCAACCCCTGGGCAGGCAGCCCGACACGGGCCCGAGGATTTCTGGGGGTCCCCCGGTTCCTGGGGACGAGGAGGCCCCGACCCCTCCGGCTCTGTCTCCTGGGACTGTGTCAGGGCCCGCGGGACCTGGGACCCTCTCTCGGCGGGCTCTTCGTGCTGAATCCGAGGCCGGCGGATCCTCGAGGGCAGGATCGGACGTGGCGCAAGCCGGCAGTGTTCGGCCCCGTCTCCCCTCCATCCCCGAGAGCGGCCCCACGGTCGAGGGGAGCACTCGGCCGTCTCGAGGCAGCTCCGAGGTCGACGGGGGCGACGGGGATCCTGACCCCTCTGAGTTTCCCGACCCTTCTGCTACCCTTGCTCCTCTGTCCCCTGCTGCTGTCCCTCCTCCGTCTGCTTCCCCTGTCTCCCCCTCCAGCTCTCCCCCTCCTTCCTCCTTTCCACCGGCCGAGGAAGGTTCGTCCTCCCGAGGCCGGAGGGTCTTGCGGCAGCCGCAGGATTTCCCCTGGTGCATCCGCGCCAAGGCCGAGGCCGGCCGGGCAGCCAGCAGCCCGCCGGACATCAAGAGGGCTCGCCTCGACTCGGCGCCGCCCGAGTCGGCGGGGCCGGATCCTTCCTCCCCTTCAGTCCCAGGTGGTGTTGTTGATCCCCCCGCTCCTCCTCACCTCACTCCTCTTCATCCTCCTCCCAGGGCCGACCCAGGTGCTGGAGAGTCGGAGGGGCGACCAGGTCCGTCGACCAGCTTCGAGCCGTCCCGGACCGTGGCCGAAAGAGTTCAGGACATCGAGGACCGACGAGCGAGGTCTCGTTCGCCATCCCGAGGCGAGCTCGGAGAGTTTTGGGTCGTCCCGGAGAGCGGGGGTGTTCGGGTCGTCCCGACGGAGCAGCCGGAGTGGACGGGAGCTGTGGAGTCTGACGGAGGCACTTTCGCCGCGAGCCGAGGGGGCGAAGTGTCCCTGAACCGTCTGTCCCCAGCCGAGAGGGCCAAGTTCGTTGCCGCCGACAACATCATACCTCCGAAGCAAGCCAGGATCATTCGCCAGCAGCACGGGGATCGTATCATCTCGAGCCGGATGGTCCGTCGGTGGAAACCCCGTGAAGGGACGTTTGCGGAACCGGACGCTAAGTCCCGGTGGTGCGTCCATGGTCATAAAGACCCCGACTCTGGAGCCCTCGAGGTCTACGCCCCGACCCCACAGACCTCCTCCATTATGATGTTCATGCAAGTAGCCATGAACCTTAGTCTGTTGTGTGACGTGGCCGATGTTAAGAATGCGTTCTGTCAGTCCGACAGGATGCAGAGAGCCAAGGGGGAAATATATGTCGAACCGTGTGATGGGGTCGAGCTGGAGAGAGGTTCCCTAATTAGGCTGCTTGTCAACGTCTACGGGTTAGACGACGCCCCCATGGCCTGGAGACGGACCGTGGTTAGGCACCTTAAGTCCCACGGCTTCGTTCGCTCCCTCCTCGAGCCGTGCTGGTGGATGCGCTACGACTCCCGGGGCCGGTTGCTCAATGCGATGTTGTTAGAGGTCGACGATTTTCTCATCGGGAGCTCCAGTCCTGAGTCCAGGCAGCGGCTTCGAGGGGTCCTGGAGGCCAGGTTCAAGTTTGGTAAGCACCGGGACCTCCAGGCCCTCGCTGTCGATTTCGCTGGAAGGCGTATCACGGTCTCCCAGGACCGGGCTGTAATCGACCAGGAAAAGTACATCTTGGAAGAGGTCCGAGCGCTGCCGATGGCAAAGGGGCGTCTTTCACGAAAAGACACCCCATTAGAACCTCATGAGTTTCGAGCCCTCCGATCTTTAGTATACAAGTTCAACTGGGTAGGCCGCGAGGCCCGCCCAGAAGCCGCGGGAGTGGCAAGTTTTCTTGCGAGCAAGCTGAAGCAGGCTACCACTGGAGATGTTACTATAGCCAACAAGTTGGCCCGTCACCTTCGAGCATCGGCCTCTCGAGGCCTGACTATTTGGAAGCTGAACCCGGACCGAATGTCCTTCATCTCCTTCTCCGACGCTGGTGGCATCGGGTCTACCGAGGGGTTGTTAGACGATCGGGGCCTTCCTGTTGATCCAACTCAAAGGGCCTGGATGGCCCTGGCGGCCGACTGTTCCGTGCTAGAGAACAAAGCTGTGAAGGCTTCAATCCTGGGCTGGCGTTCTTCCAAGCTCAGGCGCAAAGTTCCCTCCACTTTAGCCGGAGAGACCCAGGCCCTCTCAGCGGCTGTAGCAGAGGTGGAATTTCTGCAAATATTATATCGCGACGTCATGTTTCACGACGTCGACACTCCCGATTGTTATCGAGCCTCAGGGCCATTCACCACGGTCCTGAGGAGGGATTGCTCACTCGGCTCCCGCGAGAGACAGGTACATGTTGTGGATGCCAAATCCATCTACGACACTATGCAGGAGGAGGGGGTGGCCTGTGCACGAGATCGTCGCACCGCGATCGATTTGGCGATTATCTGTGAGTCTCTCGAACGGGCCCGTGGGCACGTGAGATGGGTGCCTCATGGCCGTATGCCAGTGGACGCCTTGACTAAAGAAGACGTTACGAAATGCAACGCGGCGTTGTTCGATCTCATGTCTCACGGACGTTTGATCCTAGTTGACGAGGATGCCGAAGTTGCACGACGTCGAGAGACTCCCAGTCTCAAGAGCAGAAGTCAGACCGCTTCTCGGGACGAGCTCTCCCGGAACAACTTCCTGGCCTGGTTCGAGTTCCGGGATCCTGGTGGTAGTGGTGGTGGTGGTGGTCCTCCTCCTCTCTCTCCCTCTCTCCCCATCCCACATTCTCTCCCGTCGTTTCCGCTTTTCCAGTAGTGTACAGTAATCCATCCTTCTTCTCGTTTCTCCGTGACCGGAGCGAGGAGCCAGCTCTGCAGCCAGAGCAGGGCAGTCTCCCCAGGTTTTGCCATTCAAGGGTGCTAAACCTAGGAGAAGTTGGACGAGTGTAACCGACTTCCAGAATTTGATCGATAGGTTTAGCGTTTGTAGTTCATTCTTGCAGACCTGTAAGGCAGGTCACTTTAGTTTCATGTCACTGTTACCGTTGTGGCTCAAGGCCTAAAACATTCATCCAATCCTTTGCTGCCACAGATCGAGCTTTGTCGAATGCGTCGCGTGCACAGCGTCGCACACTGCAATATGCAAGCGATGGGTTGGTCAGAGGCATTGTATGTCCAAACGTACATGCACACGCACACGCAAACACACACACACACACCACACAGACACTCACGCGCACACGCACACGCACACGCACACGCACACGCACGCGCACACGCACGCACACTGACACGCACACAAACACACGCACGCACGCACGCACACGCACACGCACACGCACACACACACACACACACACACACACACGCACACGCACACGCACACACACACACACACACACACACACACACACACACACACACACGCACTCGCACACGTACCCACACACGCGCTGACACACACCCACAGGCGCGCACACCCACAAACACGTGTGACCCGACCGACGAGTTGAACCGTTACCCCATTTCGTCGCTCTGGCAACACCGCGGGGCAGGTACGCAGCCAGGTTGGCCGCGCAACCGCGCCAGCCAGGTCAGCCAGGCGTCACCGTTATTTGTGAGTTTCCCATGTTCGTTTCTTCCTCTTGCCTGTTAGTTACACTCACTGCAGACGCTGTTTTCAAATTCGCCCAACTTCGCATTCTGCGGCATGTAGAAAGTGCGCCGCGTATTAGGACGCCCGTGCACGTTGATGCCATAATGTTTAGCCGCTGTTCGGCTGAGCTGGAGATTCGGCCCGCTCCTGCGCTTGATTTTGTGCGACGTCATCCGGTTTGATATAATTACATGCGTTCTCCCCCCGCCGCATGTGTCGGCCATGCTGGCCAATGGGTGGGTGTTAGAACATGGCCTTGCGACTGGGTGAGGGTCACAGCACTGTAGTTAAGTCTCGCTGTCGTTATTACCGGCGCTGTTTGGCCCGAGCGCTTAAGATTGTTACACTTGATTTGTGTCGCTGGTACAGCATATCTCATATGATGGTGGAAGTATCATCGCGCAGTTTTTCTCCACTACTTGCCGGGGGAGGAGGAGAGGAGGAGGAGGAGGAGGAGGAGGAGGAGGAGGAGGAGGAGGAACGGGGGCAGAGGAACACCGTCACGTCTGATATGTTTGGGCCGTCTTGGGGCTGTCGTGGCCGCGTGGTGGATGTGTCGGGGGCCTGGCGGGGCCGTTTTGGGCAGTCGAAAAGCCTCCAAAGCCGGGATCCACGGGGGGCCAACTTGCAACCATCGTGGTGGAGCATTGGGGCCGTCTTGGGTTGACGGAAGCCCGAAAGAAAAGCCATAATGCGAACGTCAGTTAAAAACCATTGGGACGTCAATGGTGTTGTGTTTGTTGACCCTGTTGGAGGTCCTCTTGTGACCTGTTTGGGGCGTCTTGGGGCATTGTTGGCCGCACTGCGCCCATTTTAGGCCGCCTTGGGGCCATGTTTGTCCATCTTCGAGACCCTAAGAATCTAGGTTGCCTGCATCGGCCGTCTTGAAGCTCGGGTGACGGCCCCTCGTTTTTGACAAGTGATCGCGGCCGCGGGGATGCGGACCCGTCTGTCTGTCACGAGGGAGCGTGGCTTCGGGAGGGGAGGCGATGGGCGATGCGTGCAAAGAAACTTCAGTATGGGGGGGCGCTGCTGAGAATGAAAACACCCCACTAGACAACCCTTGGCCTTTTCCACGCCTCAACGTGCACAGGGCTCGCTGGCGGATCTATTGGGGGTCGGCAGGGGCGGGCGCGCGCGAGTGCGCGCCAGGGGTCCTCCGCAACGAGCCCCAGTTGCACCAGGCGCCGCTGAGCGCTCCGGGCGGTCATGGGGGAAGAGATGCTCGAAGGTGCTCAGGTCTTGTTCGGTGGTTTTCGGGTCGTCGCTTGGCCGACAAAGAGACAAAATCCATTCCTTGAGTTTTTAGTTTCGGATCTCCGCGCTCTGATTTCTTGGATCGGAGCAGGACCTGACGGTCAAGCGCCGATGCAGGAAATCCGTGCGGAATTCCGAAAGCTCGTGTTTACGCATTGTTGAGTGTTCCTGGATGGTCCCCATCGCCTGCGCCTCGTCGAGGGCATTTCGGGGGAGCTGAGAATCGTCCCGAACGACCGCTTGGGGCACGTATCTATGGCCCGGAAGCAATCTTCAGGGGGGAGGATAGAAATAGGGGGAGGAGGACGACAACGACGAGGGCAACATGCGGGCAGTTCATCCCTTGCATCGCGACGTGAAGAGGAAGCCGTTGCGCCAGGCAGATTTCACGCGCTGGCGCGCCACTCTGCGCACAATGCCGGGTTATAAAACACCTCAAGAGTAAAAGGCTGTTGTCAGGGCCGACGGGCAACGTGTCGGCCGAGTGCTTCCGTAACTCGGGAGCCGCGAGGTGTTTGTTATTGATTTATTTCAGGCGACGCATCAAGCACAGCGCAGAGGGAGGAGGAGGACGAGGAAGAGGACGAGGAGAAGGACGAGGACGAGGACGAGGAGGAGGAGGAGGAGGAGGAGGAGGAGGAGGAGGAGGAGAAGGAGGAGGAGGAGGGAGGGAGGAAGGGAGGGAGGGAGGGGAGGGAGGAGGGGGAGGGAGGGAGGGAGGGAGGGAGGGAGGGAGGGAGGGAGCGAGGAGGAGGAGGAGATGAGGAAGAAGAAGAAGAAGAAGCAGATGATTAATACTACTAAGAAGAAGAAGATGAGGAGGAGAGAGGAGGAGAGGAGGAAGCCGCCTGAAAACTCCAGCCCCCCCCCCCCCCTCGCATCAGCCCGCCCTGGGGGTGGGGGGGGGGTCGGCCTCGGCCTGCCGGGTCCGCTGGCGTGCGGGGCCTGGGGCAGTCAAGCACTGATCTGGGATGAGCAGCTTTGCCAGGTGGGCCCCAGGAGGGGACCTCCTCCTCCTCCTCATCCTCCTCCTCCTCCTCCGTCCTCCTCCTCCTCGTCCAACTCGTTGCCATCCTCCTTCGCGCTCCTTCCTCCTTGTCCCCCTCCTCCTCCTCCTCCTCCTCCTCCTCCTCCTCCTCCTCCTCCGTCCTCCTCCTCCTCCGTCCTCCTCCTCGTCCAACTCGTTGCCATCCTCTTCCGCGCTCCGTCCTCCTCGTCCCCCTCGTCCTCGTTCTCCTCCGCCTTCCGCCCTCCCTGCTCCGCCCTCTGCCCGGGGGATCGATCCTGAGCGGCTTCGACCTTTCTGTTGGCGGCGGTTTGGGTCCAGGGCGCGGTCAAGGCAGCGGGGGACCCACTGGAGCCCCATTGGGGCACACCAGGGGGGGAGACAAGGCACAGAAAGGGAGGGGGAGACCAGGCGCAGAAAGGGGGGAAGGGCAAGATGTCGGGCGCGTTGGCGAAACCAATGGCAACAGATTGCACTGCGGTGGTGGAGCCTTAGACAAACCTTTTCAAAGGGCACTGCCGTTTAGAACAACTATGGCATGGGACGATCGCAGTCCGAGTCCAACGGCCACCATCGAAGCAGCGTAAATGATGGCATGGGCGATTGCGGAAAAAAACCAGAGGCACCGAAGATAATGACAATCAGCGGTGCGGGCAACGATGATGACAGTGCTGCTTTTTGCGATCTCTGCCCTTTCACGCGTCCCCGAAACTTGGCGCGCACAATGTATGATGTGCGTCTCCTCGGTTCTGGTTGGAACCTTCCTTCAAGACCGCTTTCCTCGCGTTGAAAGTGTTCCGCTTACTGTTGAGGCCAGATTTTGTATGTCTGGCCCACCTTCGCTTCCCCGGGCCCCCGCGTGAAGATGGTGACAGTCCACCCACGGATTGATTTCCTTTTTACCAACTCGCGACAGCTGGACTCGGGGTCGACCCTTTGTGGTGACGACGACCCTTGCTGACGAGCATTAATATGATGATGCTGACGGCGACCCGTGGTGGTAAGCATGGCGAGGACGATGATGATGCTGATGATGACCATGGTGATGATAATGTCGTTGTCGATGATGATGGGAGAAAGGGGAGTCCCGTAACAATGATGATGATGATGATGATGATGATGTTGATGTTGATGCTGATGTTGTTGCTGATGCTAATGATGATGATGACGATGACGATGACGATGACGATGACGATGATGATGATGATGATGATGATGATGATGATGGTGATGATGATGATGATGATGATGATGATGATGGTGATGATGATGATAATGATGATGATGATTCGTCAAAAGCCGACTGCGAAAACGAAACTACATACGAGCGTTCGCAAATTTAGAGCAGAAAATAAGAGCACTCGAAGGCGCCGTGATGTTCTGGCACGCACTGAGCTCCGCTCTGACGCAACCGCCCCACAAATCTGACACCCCTCGCTTCCCCAAAAGGTGCCTTAGAAACCGGCACTTCGGGCCGTTTATCAAGGGACTACGAGCACTTGCTGAGCATGCTGTGACTGAACGGCCTTGCCTTCGAAGATCGAAGGAGTTGACATCTCTTCCTCGGTGGAAGGTCAGCGGAAGCTAAGGTAAAACGAGGCCAGCTCCGCCAGTGGAAGCCATCCGAAGGCATGCGGAAGCTAGCGGAAGCAAAAGGCAGGTGGAAGCTAGCGGTTTTCGATTCAGGGATTCCAGAGCTCGCCATGCTCATCATATATGATGGTCCGTAGGAGAAGTCGCGTGCGAGCGCGAGCAGGGCTTAACAGGTATGGCGGCTTGAGTGTTGACACTGTGGAATAATCGCCATGTAGGTTTGGAACCCGAAGTGTTTTTTCAGCACGCCCCCTATCTGTGTCTCACAGCAAACCCCATGATTCCAATTTGCAATCATGTTTTCCAGAGCGCTGGGTGCGTCCGCGCGCCGCCGCCGCGCGGGTGGCGCGGGTCCTCCGCGCTTGTATGGGGATGTCATAATGCGTATGTTTGAGATTTAACATGGGGGCTTCATCATGTCTACCACATTATCGTAACGCGCACGACGCAAGTGCGCACGCGCGTGCGCGATGAATATCCGGGCGGCCCCATCCAAGTATTGTTCAGAGGAGCAGTGATATCTGAAGTGCAGGAGGCACTGTTTGGGGATCACTCGTGGCCACTGTAAGTTCCCAGAGTAAGCTGCACTCATTTCTATACTCCGGCGTGGGGGTGTATGCGCGGCCGAGGTTGCGCTGGCGTGTGCATGCATGTGCCCGGCATGTGCGGGCCTTTTGGGTTGGATGTTCTAATGTACATGCACGCCTGGCCATGTGCAGGGTCATGTGCGTTGTGTTTGATGCATCATTTGTCTGCACATGCCCGCGCATGCCGGCGCGCATTCCCGCACAGGCCTGCACATGCCTGCACATGCAGATCTGCCGGCGGCAGGTGCACGGACATGCCTGTGCAATCCTCCTGCGGATGGCCGCGCATGCGTTGAAACGCGCGTCCGCACCTGCCGACGCACACTCCCGCACATGCCTGCGGAGTTGTCTGGGAGCCTCCAGCGCTGCGTGGCCTTTCGCAGGAGCTCCCCGGGGGCTTGCGGGGGCTTCCCAAAGCTTCCTGCGGCCACGAGTGGATGTGGTGCCGTGCGGTAGGTTCGCGTCGTGTCGACCCGCGGCGACCCCGCCAGCGGTGTTCAACTTTGAACGCCGCGGGCGACCCAGACTCGTTCGATGTGGAGCGATTTGGACGTTTCGGAAACTCTAGGCCACCTAGATGGGGTCGGACTAGATGGGGTCGGAGGAATGCGCCACATCGCCGATGCATCGGCGATGCGGCTCGATGTTGAGCCCGACTTGCTTCATGCCGATGGTTTCGAAGCATCGCCGACGTCGCGGCTGCGTCGCCAATGCATCAGCGATGTATCGCCGATGTATCAGCGATGCCGCGCGATCCTCCGACCCCATTTACTCGGACCCCATCTTGGAGGCCTCTAGAAACGGCCGATCGTTCGAGGTTGAACGATCCCCGCGGCGTCAGAAAAACCAACGCCGAAGCCGGCACGGCACGAGCCTGGCGCACGCGCCGAGGCAGCCTGCGCGCGCCTCGCTCGCCCAGTGCTGCCGGGAGCGGCCCCGCGCCCGCGGGCCCACGCCCGCGTGCTTTTCGCCCCGCGCCCCGGGGTGGCCGTGCAAGGCTCGCTGGCGCGCGCCCTGTCGCAGTCTCTTTCCCGCGCGCCTGCTCGGCCCGGCCGGAGGGGCAGAGGGAGGTGGGGATCGGGAGCCTTGAGACGGGGGTCCATGCAAACGGGGGTCAGCCAGAGCGCCAGATCTTGCAGGATCCTGCGAAGACCCCCTCTGGCTGACCCGGGTCAGCGAGCCGCTCGTGGCCGCGAGGCGGCCGCGCACATTGGCTGACCAGGGTTTGCGAAGACCTGCGTTGCAGTTTTGTTTCCTGTATTGCATTTTTTTGGTTCCCTACTGACCCGGGTCTGGATTGACCCGGGTCAGAAGATCCCCGAGGGGAGGCGAGACACGAGAGGTACAGGTGGCCCTGATGAGTAGGTGGACCCTGCCAGATCAAGGGTATCCTCGTGTGTTGTGTCTTGCGACCCATGCCTCCTGCATTTCTGTGGCAACGCGGCCCTCGGGAGGGTCTTATGTCCTCTCGCGTGTCCTCTCCAATCACGTCCGACTGTAGGAGAGGTCAGCAGAAGGATGGTGGGAAGCAACAGAGGGAGTCAGCTATACACAATAGTAACCCTGGGCAAGAATGACCTTTGGTGCGCGGCTTTTTGGGGGGCCGCGGGGGGACCAAGCCTGGGCGCGCAGCCAGCTGCTACTGCTTCGTTTTCAGCCATTTGGGGACCCATCTGTGCCCGCACCAAAGGTCACTCCTGCGAAAGGTCACTCTTACGTCTAGGCGAGGGGGGAGAGACATCAGACGTAGGAGAGGTCAGCAGAAGGAGGGCGGGAAGCAATAGAGGAGGACGAGGAGGAGGAGCAGGCGCTCGCTCGGCTCGCATGCCAGATGGCATGGTGGCCGAGAGCGTCAAGGGAGAGGGGGAGGTGAAGGAGGTCGAGGAAGTGGAGGCCCGTTTCGCGCGGGACATGCGAATTGCTCCGATTCGCTTGGGACATCCCTAGGTTCCAAGCTCCGATTCTCGAACTGTCTCGGTCCGTCGTACGGGAGGCATCCTCAACGTTCTGGGTCCCGAGACGCTCTGACATGAGTCTGATTTCGCCAGTTTCGTTGAAGACATCCCCAAAGATCTGGATTCCAAGATGCGGTTCTTGAAGTGGTCTTGCCCGTTTCGCGTGAGACACACTCGGAGCTCGGGGTTCCGAGATATTTCGACTTGAAGTAATATGTTCCGATTTTTGTTTGGGACATCCTATTGATTCTGTGTTCAAGATGCGGTTCTGAAGTGATCCAGCCCGTTACTCGTTTCGCGTGAGACACCCGCTGATCTACGGGCTTCGAGATCAAGGGATTCAAGAAGTCCCGCAGGGATGTCCACCATTTATGCTGCATGACCGCTTACCTGGGTCGGCCGCTGTGAGCTCGGCCTGTGCAAATGTTGTGCGGGGCTGTGCGCGGCATGTGCGGGACGTGCAATAATGCCCTGGCCGGCCAGGCCGGGAGCGGCCCCGATTCACCTGGCGCCCCGCTCACGCCGTGCGAAGAAGCGCGCAGCGCTTGCGCTGCCCGTTCGCCGTAAGGATCGGGACGCCGGAGCAGTTGTCCAGCCATTTTCGCTTGAGACATCCTCGCAACTTTGGCCTCGAGAATTCTCTGAACTGAGGTGGTCCGGACACTTTCCCCTGAGACGTCTTCGCAACTTTGACCCCGGAGACCCCCTGCCCCATGGTGGTCCAGCTTTGGTTTCTGGACATCCTCTTTCCTCCGACCTCTGCCCCTCTTCGCCGTTCCCCCGTTCCTCTGTGCCCGTGATGCTGGCGTTCTGCCAGCCCGCGGGAGACGCGGCTGAGTTGGTGCCGTCCAGTGACCCGGCTCGGTCCCTCCAGGCTCCGTCCTCCCGGGCGCAGTCGTGCCACCGAGAGGCAGGAGCCTCGGTCTCAAGGGCCGCGGCAGGTGTTGGCCACGACCAGGCCCGCCTGACGCCGCCAGCGCTCGCCGTGCTCGTTCTCGTGCCATTCGTCCCTCCTCGTTCTCCTCCTCCCCAGGTGCACATTTTTCGGGAGTCGCTGTTCATGGGCGAGTCCCCGCTGGGCGAGGAGGCTTCGGGCGGGGCGTGACTCGGTAGGGTGTGCCGGGAGCAGCAGGGAAACATTCGTATTGACGTCCCACTGCTATCACTATTATAGTCCTGCCTCCTGCTATCTTGCCTCTTTCAAGTGAGAAAGGGCCAGCCAGACCACCATGCTTGGTTTGATGCACAGCCTTGTGCGTTTACTGAACCTCCCTGTCCTGTCCGATCTGTTCCTCAGGTGCGTCTGCTACTGGGCTGCGCTTGCAGGGATGTTTACCATGAGGGATTGGGTCTTCTGGCCTCGAATCTTTCTGGGTCCCCAGCTATACACCTACACCGCGGCTGGCCAGGTCAATCGTGGGCCCAGGATTGGTGCATACGCATTCCCTGACAAGCCAGGTGTGCGTATTGCACAGATCAAGCGCCAGGGGCGGGCCTGGCCAGGATCGGCGCAGGTGTGTGGTCCTCCTTCGTTCGCTTCGCCCCCGTCTCCAGGTTTTTTTCCGCTAGTGCGACTTCTACAACGTGTCCGCTCACGCGTGTGGCGGCCATCGCGTGCTCCGAGAGCTCTCGTTCTGGCCTGTTCTTGCCCCCTCCCTGGGTCCCCGCATGATTGTTGGATACCGAATTATTGGCGTCATCCGCCAAAGATCGTTGCGTGATATTCAACGGGCCTGTTTGGGAAGTCGCCGCGGCAATCGCGGCGACCACACATCGAAGCAAGTCTTATGTCAAGGAGCGGCATGCCCTTCCCAGGCCCCCCGCTCTGCGATGTAGACGCGGGTCCTGGTGAAGGGTCAGGCGACGGAGAGGTGTCAATGTGTGTCCACCATGGGCAGTCGTGGGGTCCATCGTCACGCAGTCGAGAGGTCGGACTTTTCCCTCGCCTTCTCCTTCCGCCTCGCGGTGCTGGGGGCAGCCCGCGCCGACTACTGGCATCAACAGCAAGCCCCCAGATGCCCCCAACCGCTACACCCTCGTGTACAGGAAGGCAATAGTTTTAGTAGTAGTCTTAGTAGTAGTAGTAGTAGTAGTAGTAGTAGTAGTAGTGGTAGTGGTAGTAGTAGTAGTAGTAGTCGTAGCAGTAGTAGTAGTAGTAGTAGTAGTAGTAGTAGTAGTAGTAGTAGTAGTAGTAGTAGTAGTAGTAGTAGTAGTAGTAGTAGTAGTAGTAGTAGTAGTAGTAGTAGTAGTAGTAGTAGTAGTAGTAGTAGTAGTAGTAGTAGTAGTAGTAGTAGTAGTAGTAGTAGTAGTAGTAGTAGTAGTAGTAGTAGTAGTAGTAGTAGTAGTAGTAGTAGTAGTAGTCGTAGTAGTAGTCATCGTCGTCGTCGTCGTCGTGTCGTCGTAGTCGTAGTCGTAGTCGTAGTCGTAGTAGTAGCAGTAGCAGTAGTAGTAGTAGTAGTAGTAGTAGTAGTAGTAGTAGTCGTAGTAGTAGTCGTAGTAGTTAGTAGTAGTAGTAGTAAGTAGTAGTAGTAGTAGTAGTAGTAGTAGTAGTAGTAGTAGTAGTAGCAGCAGCAGCAGCAGGAGTAGCAGCAGCAGCAGGAGTAGTAGTAGTAGTAGTAGTAGTTAGTGGTAGTTAGTAGTAGTCGTAGTCGTAGTCGTAGTCGTAGTCGTAGTCGTAGTCGTAGTCGTAGTCGTAGTCGTAGTCGCAGTAGTAGTAGTAGTCGTAGTAGTAGTAGTAGTAGTAGTCGTCGTAGTCGTAGTCGCAGTCGCAGTCGCAGTCGTAGTCGTAGTCGTAGTCGTAGTCGTAGCAGTAGCAGTAGGAGTAGTAGCAGTAGCAGTAGCAGTAGCAGTAGTAGTAGTAGTAGTAGTAGCAGTAGCAGTAGCAGTAGCAGTAGCAGTAGCAGTGGCAGTGGCAATTGCAGTGGCAGTGGTCGTAGTAGTCGTAGTAGTCGTAGTAGCCCTAGTAGTCGTAGTAGTCGTAGTAATCGTAGTAATCGTAGTAGTCGTAGTAGTCGTAGTAGTCGTAGTAGTCGTAGTAGACGTAGTAGTCGTAGTAGTCGTAGTAGTCGTAGTAGTAGTAGTCGTAGTAGTCGTAGTCGTAGTAGTCGTTAGTCGTAGTCGTCGTAGTCGTCGTAGTCGTCGTAGTCGTCGTAGTCGTCGTAGTCGTCGTAGTCGTCGTAGTCGTCGTAGTCGTCGTAGTCGTCGTAGTCGTCGTAGTCGTCGTAGTCGTCGTAGTCGTCGTAGTCGTTGTAGTCGTCGTAGTTGTCGTAGTCGTCGTAGTCGTCGTAGTCGTCGTAGTCGTCGTAGTCGTCGTAGTGGTCGTAGTCGTCGTAGTCGTCGTAGTCGTCGTAGTCGTAGTAGTAGTCGTAGCCGTAGCCGTAGCCGTATTCGTAGTAGTAGTAGTAGTAGTAGTAGTAGTAGTAGTAGTAGTAGTAGTAGTAGTCGTTGTCGTTGTCGTAGTCGTAGTCGTAGTCGTAGTCGTTGTCGTAGTAGTGATTGCAGTAGTGGTCGTAGTAGTCGTAGTAGTCGTAGTAGTCGTAGTAGTAGTAGTAGTAGTAGTAGTAGTAGTAGTAGTAGTAGTAGTAGTAGTAGTAGTAGTAGTCGTAGTAGTCGTAGTCGTAGTAGTCGTAGTCGTAGTAGTAGTAGTAAGTAGTAGTAGTAGTAGTAGTAGTAGTAGTAGTAGTAGAGTGGAGTAGGAGTAGTAGTAGAGTAGGATAGGAGTAGTAGGAGTAGGAGTAGGAGTAGTAGTAGTAGTAGTAGTAGTAGTAGTAGTAGTAGTAGTAGTAGTAGTAGTTGTAGTAGTAGTAGTAGTAGTAGTAGTAGTAGTAGTAGTAGTAGTAGTAGTAGTAGTAGTGCAGTAGTAGTAGTAGTAGTAGGTCAGTAGTAGTATAGGTAAGTAAGTAGTAGTAGTAGTAGCAGTAGCCAGTAGAGCATAGCAGTAGCAGTAGCGTCGTCGTCGTCGTCGTCGTCGTCGTCGTCGTCGTCGGTCGTCGTCGTCGTCGTCGTCGTCGTCGTCGTCGTCGTCGTCGTTGTAGTCGTAGTAGTAGTAGTAGTAGTAGTAGTAGTAGTAGTAGTAGTAGTAGTAGTAGTAGTAGTAGTAGTAGTAGTAGTAGTAGTAGTAGTAGTAGTAGTAGTAGTAGTAGTAGTAGTAGTAGTAGTAGTAGTAGTAGTAGTAGTAGTAGTAGTAGTAGTAGTAGTAGTAGTCGTAGTACTATTAGGGCATGGCGCCCGCTGCCCGCGGCAGAAGGGAGGGCGGCAAGGACGGTGAGGCCCTTGCTGCCCAAGGCAGGAGGGCTGCAAGGAGAGGAGGAGGAGGAGGAGGAGGAGGAGGAGGAGGAGGAGGAGGAGGAGGATGAGGAGGAGGAGAGGAGGAGAAGGTCAGACACCAGCTGCCACCACAGCCGGGTCATCTTGACGGCCCGGTGTGTTGTTCAACCGTCCCCCCCCCTTCGCAGCCGTCTTACAGGTGAAGTGCCCGACCGATTGCCGACTCTCCCCCTTGTCTTCCCCTGCCCCCTCGCGGCGCCTCCTCGTCCTGGGCCGCCGCCGCCGCTGCGCCCCCAACGGCTCCCGCGCGCTCAGGAGATTCGCAACGTCCTCGCGGAAGCCATGGACACGTGGTCATCGGGGGCGGGGCAGGGTCTCTGTTGGTCCGATCGATCGGGTTCGGTCTCGAACTCGGCCAGCCTTATCCGTTTCGGTTCCGGTGTCGCAAGGCGCCGATGCAGCCCAGTGTTCTTGGTGGCGGAAAAGGAGGGGGGTGATGTCTAGGGGGGGGGATCTCATGGCGGGGGCCATGCCATCTCCCCAGATTTCATGGCGCCTCTTCTTATTTCAAGACGTCCCCGCCCCGCCCTGGGCCGGGCACGTGCCGCCGGCCATGACTTGCGCGCCCCCCTCTCGGACGCCCCCCCTCTTGGCCGCCCCCGAGTTTCGCACGCAGTGCTGTGCAGCCTTTGCGCCGCCCATCCGACTGAATTCCGACGCCATGCCAGTGCGGCCCGATCTGGCGCACGATCGGATCCGATGTGGTTTCCGGTTCGGTGCCGACGGATCCTTGCCAGGGAGGTACGAGGCATTTTGAAGGGCCCCAGGACGCACAAATAAATACACACAAATAAACAGATTTCCCATATTTTCCTATATTTTGGGGGTTTTTGTTTTCCCCCTCCCACTTCCCATATTTTCCCATATTTTCTGGGGAATCGAGGATTAATTGTGTCTGTGTGTTTCTTTTCCTCCTGACACTTATGGGCCTAATGACCTCAATGTCGCCCCGGGGGCACAACGCATCCCATGGCCAGGAGAGCACTGCCGAATTGCCTGCGGTGCCGCATCGTGCGGGTGTGGCCGAAGGTGCGACCGGAGGCGGAGCGGAGCGATGCAGTGTACAGTGTCTTTTGTTGAGCCCCCCACTGCACACTGCCGCAGGGGCGCAATGTGTCACATGATCAGGAGAACACGCCCGCAATCTCGAGGGCACCGATATCGGTGCATGTTAGCAGCGTTATGCCCAGCTCGGCATCGGAGGGGGATCAGTGATGAGGGCTCTTTTTCTTCCAGGCAAGCGCGCACGCATTGCGGCAAGCGCGTCGGCGACAGGCACCCGCGAGCATATATTCTGAAATTGGTCGAGCAGTGCGCTGAGCAGTCGGCGCACGCATGGGTCGTTCTAGCGTCACAACTTACAGTCCCGTTGATGGAGCGCGGTCGAATTGTGGCACAGGCAGGGCCGCGGCTTCCCGACCTTGCACGTGGACCCTCAGCTCAAGCTGCCCCGCCGGCCAGTCGCTAGTGAATGCTGTTTCCTGCATGTGCGCTGCTCTCCGAGTCGCCGGGGCCCAGCAGTCTCAGGTTCGAGGTTGGGATTTGAACATCACCACCGTCCTCATCGTCGTAAGTCGGGCATGTCCCTCTACTGGAGGAATAGTACAAAAATACGATGGGGGGCTGATCTCTTAGCATGTTTTGCTCAGTTTTTTTGTTGAGTATTTGTATATTTGTCGGGAACGATTGCTCTTGTGTTGTTCGACCATGTTGGAGCATTTTTTGGGAATCTTTTTTTCTCCCGAAATTCGCCTCTAGGGGGACATGCCCGACCTGGTCCTCGTCTCCGGTGGAGGGGAGGCCCGCCAACTCGTACCACCCCATCTGCAGGAACTGCGTGACCTTCGCGGAGGACCGGGCCCCCCCCCCTCGAGCGAGCGAGGAGGGGATCGGCCTGTGTCTGCTTCTGTTGGGGTTCCTCGGCGGCTATCGCCGCCTCGGTGGCAGCGTTACAGGACACGCCGCGCTGGCTGCGCACCGCGTCGCGCAGCCCAAGTCGGGCGTGTCCCTCTACAGGGGGAGCATCCAAGAATAATCAAACATTAGTCGGGGACGACTTGTCTTATACTTGGTTTTACCATTTTGGAGCCTTTCGGGCATTTTCGATCGTTCGCCCAAAACCCCCTTGTAGGAGGACATGCCCAACCTGACGCGCAGCTGCCGGCACCGGTCGCCACCCCCTGGGACGTAGCATTGAGCATTACCGAATCTGGTGCATGCGCGGTCGACCGCCGTCCTACTAATGTTTCGTCCCGCCCTGTCCGGCTTAGTCCTGGGTTCAATCTGGCCAGGTTCGGTTCACTGCCCCTGATTCGAGGTTTCTCCCATGGCGACGCGGCTTGGATAGCTCAGCAGGATTCGTGCGGTCAAATGGCCCAACTACAAATGACGCGTAATGCGCAGAGTGCGCCGACACCATTTCGTCACACCATAGTAGCCTGATCCCGAGCTGAACTCAATGCACAGAGCTGCGTGATTCGGTGACGTCACCTCGCTACGCGATCGGTCCTATCTTTTCCTACCCCCCCCCCTCGCCATCCCTGCCCCTTCTCCCCCCCCCTGGCAGCGCGGCGTCCAAACGTGCGCGGTCCCCCCTGCGTCTGCCCCAAGTCTCGTCCTCCCCCTTTCCTCCCCTCCTCGAAAACAGAGGTTTCGTGCAAGGAGCTGCGTCGACAGCCTGTAGCTGCTCCAAGCAGAGGGCCCGATCACTTTCGAACTCACCTTCTATTCGTCCTGCGCCCCCTCCTCCCCTGCTTCTACCTTGCTCTCCCCCCCTCTTCTTCTCGCCCCTCCTTCCTCTCGCCCCGAGTTTCTCCTTCCCTCTCGTTCCGAGTTTCTCCTTCTACCTTGCTCTCCCCCACTCTCCCTCTCGCCCCTCCTCCCTCTCGCACCCTCCCCCTCCCGCCCCGAGCTTCTCTTCTCCCCCCCTCTCCAGATCTCCGACGTCGTGATTTTTGTCCGCGGCGCGGCCCCCCCCCCGAGATCTTTGGAAACAACTTCCAATCAGAGGCAGGCCCGTCATCCCGAGACGTTGGTTCGCTTTTTGGGGGCAGCACGCGGGAGGAACGTGGTTGGAAGACGGGGAGGCGGAATGGCAGGAGGAGGAGAAGGAGGAGGGCGAGAAAGAGGAGGAGGAAGAGGAGGAGGACGAGGAGCAGGAGGAGCAGGAGGAATGCTAATTACCCCAGTGCGACCCTACCAAGAAGTTGGAGCCCCTAGGAAAGCAGCATTAGTTGCTATGCTATGTAATGCCATGCTATGCTATGCTGCGCTATGATATGCTATGCTATGCTATGTTATGCTGCGCTATGATATGATATGTTATGATATGATATGTCATGCTATGCTAAGCTATGATGTGCTGTGCTATGCTATACTAAGCTGCGCTGTGCTATGCTATGTCATGATATGCGATGCTTTGTTGCGCTATGGTATGCTATGCTGGGCTATACTATGCTGTGCTGCGCTATGCGATGCTATGCTATGCTGTGCTCTGCTATGCTAAAGCTCAGCGAAGCTAAGATGAAGATAAGCTAAGCTAAGATAAACCTGAGCTTAGATGAAGCTAAGCTAAGCTAAGATGCAATAAGCTAAGCTAAGATGAGATAAGCAACGCTACGCTAAGGGGACGTAACTGGGGGAACCGCGGGGCGGATACTGGAGGAACCGCCCGGGGCGCTTTCCACTGCCCGGTCCCTTTAAGCCCAGAGAGTAAGAACCCTTTTAGGCAGAGCCTAGGTAGGGAATCAATTACCCCAGTGCGACCCTACCTAGAAGTTGGAGCCCCTAGGAAAGCAGCATTAGTTGCGATACCATGCTATGCTATGCTGCGCTATGCTGTGCTATGCTATGCTATGCGAAGCTATGCTATGCTATGTCATGCTGCGCTGTGCTATGCTAAGCTATGCTACGCTGCGCTATGCTATGCTGTGCTGTGCTATGCTATGCTGCGCTATGCTATGCTATGATATGCTTGGCTATGCTATGCCATGCCATGCTAATGCAGCGCTGCGCCATGCTAAGCTAAGCTAAGTTACGCTAAGTTAACCCTCTAGGCAGAGCCTAGGTAGGGAATTACGCCCATGCTATGCTGGGCTATGCTATGAGATGCTATGCTGGGCTATGCTACGCTATGCTATGCTGTGCTCTGCTATGCTAAAGCTCAGCGAAGCTAAGATGAAGGTGAGCTATGCTAAGATAAACCTGAGTTAAGATGAAGGCTAAGCTAAGCTAAGATGAAATAAGCTAAGCTAAGATGAGATAAGCAACGCTAGCTAAGGGGACGTAACTGGGGGAACCGCGGGGCGGATACTGGGGGAACCGCCCGGGGCGCTTTCCACTGCCCGGCCCTTTAAGCCCAGAGAGTAAGAGCCCTTTTAGGCAGAGCCTAGGTAGGGAATCGGAATCAATTACCCCAGTGCGACCCTACCTAGAAGTTGGAGCCCCTAGGAAAGCAGCATTAGTTGCGATACCATGCTATGCTACGCTGCGCTATGCTATGCTATGCTGCGCTATGCTATGCTATGCTATGCGAAGCTATGCTATGTCATGCTGCGCTGTGCCATGCTATGCTATGCTGCGCTGCGCTGCGCTGAGGATGAGGGGAGCCGCCCGGGGCGCTTTCCACTGCCGTCGAGGCCTCCGGGCCGCAGCCGGCGGCCCGGACAAGAGAGGGCCAGAGTCGGAGAGCCAGTGCGTTGCTCTCTCGGTCCCGGTCCTCGGTGGCCGAGGGCAGGCGGTTGCCAGGGGGGCCCGCAGGAGCGGAGGGGGGAGGAGGCAGGAGGGAGGAGGGAGGAGGGGGGAGGGAGGAGGAGAGATGGGGAGGGGGAGGGAGGGAGGAGGAGGAGGAGGGAGGAGGGAAGAGGGAGGAGAGAGGAGGGAGGAGAGAGGAGGGAGGAGGGAGGAGGGGAGAGGGAGGAGGGAAGAGGGAGGAGAGAGGAGGGAGGAGGGAACGGAGGAGGGAGGAGGGAAGAGGGAGGAGAGAGGAGGGAGGAGAGAGGAGGGAGGAGGGAGGAGGGGGAGAGGGAGGAGGGAAGAGGGATGAACTATTTGGCACAGCTTGTCGGCGTGTTAGACAACAATTGTTTGTCACAGGTCGGCGTGGATTTGTTTGGGTTGGCTCGACAATACAGTTCACAGATCTTTGCACATGTCCAGCTCCTACGTGAGCCTGGGCAACCCATTTGGCTCTTGCCACCGCGTTCGTCAGCGACCGTGAGGGGGGCAATCAGGGAGACGGATGGGAGATGTACGCAGGGCAAGTCAGGGTGCAGGGCAAGCGATGTACGGCTCGAGAAGCCACATCACCATCGTCGTTCGTGCATGCATGATTGCGATTCACTTGTTCACCTGAGGAGGGAGGGGGAGGGGGAGGGAGGAGGAGGATGAGAAGGAGGATGAGGAGGAGGAGGAATTGTTTATGCTTCATCGAGGCCGCTCTCCCAGCCATGCTTGTTTCTGCGGGCGCGCGCGTCGACTGTGTCGACCCAGCCGCGGTGGCGCGCACACGCCTGCCGAGCAACAGAGAGGTCGAATAGGAGGACCCGGCGAGGAGGGAGGATGTGGAGGAGGAGAGAGGAGGAAGCAGGGAGGAGGAGAGGAGGATGAGGAAGGGGGGAGGAGGAGGAAGGAGGGGATGAAGGGATGAGGAGGAAGGGGGAGGAGGGAGGAGGATGAGGAAGGTGGGCAGAACGTGAAGTATGAGGAACGATAATGATTAGCGGAAGGGGGAGGAAGAGGATGAGTCGAAGGAGGAGGAGGAGCAAGGAGTAGGGAGGATGATTGTGAGGAGCAGGAGGAGGAGGAGGACGACGATGATGAAGGGGAGGAGGGAAGCCGGATAGGGGAGGTGACGAGGCAGAGGGGGTGCCCCCGTGCCCACTGCAGTTGCGCACGCGCGCGCGCGCGCCCGCGCCGGTTGGCCCCCGCAGGAGCTCGTCAGGTTGCTGCGGGCGCCGGGGCCGTTCCCGGCGTGGGCGCGCGGCGCCGCCGAGGCTCCGCGGGGGTGAGTCTCGCCCTCCTCCTCGTCCCTTGCTCTCGCACACCTATATATACCTGTACGACCACCTTGCGGGTGATAAGAAGGTTTGGGGGGGGCAGCAATTGGCAAAAGTGCACAACCCACGGCGGGACACTGGCGGGACACCAGCGGGACACCGCGTGCCACCGTTTGACGGGAAGAGCATCATGTAGTCCGGCCGCGGCCCAGCCACAGAATTTCGGGACACCAGCGGGACACCGGCGGGACACCGCGCGCCACTAGCCGCCGGAGGAGAATCATTTGGTCCGGTCGCGGCCCAGGGAAAGGAGGATTTCGGGACACCAGCGGGACACCAGCGGGCCACCGGCCGCCGGAGGAGAATCATTTGGTCTGGCCGCGGCCCAGCCACAGGAAGATTTCTTCTCGCCCGCTCACGCAGCTTCGCCTCGCCCGCACGCGCGCACGCACGGCACGCACGACACGAACCCGAAAACGAAACCGATTTCCTGGTAGGGGGGGTCTCCGTTTCACGTCGGATTCACCCCCCAACCTCTGATATGTATATATATATATTATATATAATATATGTATACATGTGTATATATATACATATATACACATACATATATACACACAAGCACGTACATCCATACATACATGCATGATTCCCTACCTAGGCTCTGCCTAGAAGGGTTTTTACTGTGTGGGCTTAAAGGGGCCGGGCAGTGGACCCCGCCCCGGGCGGTTCCCCCGGCATCCGCCCCGCGGTTCCCCCAGTTCCGCCCCCTTACCTTATCTTTGCGTATTTCATCTTAGTTTAGCTTAGCTTCATCTTAGCTTAGTGTAGCTGTAGCTTAGCTTAGCTTATCTCATATTAGCTTAGCGTAGCTTAGTTTTGCTTAGCTTAGCTTAGCTTAGCTTCATCTTAGCTTCGCGTAGCTGTAGCTTAGCTGTAGCTTAGCTTAGCTTAGCTTAGCTTATCTCATCTTAGCTTAGCTTAGCTTAGCTTGGCTTGGCGCGGCTTAGCTTAGCAAAGGCAAAGGCAAAGGCAAAGGCAATGACAAACACAAAGGCAAGAACAAAAGCAAAGGCAATGCAAAGCAACAGCAAAACCAATGCGAAAGTGTAGATGTATATGTAGATGTCAGTGTAGGTGTAGATGTGGATGCAGGTGTAGATGTAGATGTAGATGTAGGTGTAGCTGTAGGTGTAGATGTAGACGTAGATGTGAGTCTCGCTGTTGATGTAGATGTAGATGCAGGTGTAGATGTACGTGTAGCTCTCGGTGTAGATGTAGATGTTGCTTTCCTAAATGCTCCAACTCCTAGGTAGGGTCGCACTGGGATAATTACACACTTACTTCAATACACATTACATACACAGTCATCCATCCATGCGCACACATAACTGCATACACTCACACGTACATGCATACATACATTAATGAACACATACATCATACATACATACATACATACATACATGCATGCATGCATGTATACATACATACATACAACCATACATACATATATGCATACAATCATACATACATACATACATACATACATACATACATACATACATACATACATGCACACATGTATACACACGTACATACATACATACATACATACATACATACATACATACATACATACATACATACATACATACATACATACATGCACACACATACATACATACATACATACATACATACATACATACATACATACATGCATACATACATACATACATACACACACATATATACACATATATACATACATGCATACATACATACACACAAGTATACACACGTAAATACATACATACATACAAACATACATACATACATACATAAATCCATACATACATACATACATACATACATGCATGCATGCATGCATGCATGAATTCATGCATGCATACACATATACATGCATACATGCATGCATGTATGCATGTATGCATGCATACATACATACATACGTACATGCACACATACACACATACATCCATACACCTACATACACAAACATTCCATCTACATGCAAACATACATAGATGCATGCATCCATACACACATGCACACATCCATACATATACACACCTACATACATACATTCATACGTACATGCATACGCGCATATATACGCACATACCTATTCAGTTACTTACTGACACACATTCATGCTGCGTTCCAGGCCTGAGGAGGGCAGGCCCATTCCTTCACGGCTGTGCCGGGGCTCCATGAGCTGCTCTTTCCCATTCCAGGACGACTGCGATGCCATCCAAGTCGGCCACGATGGCTGAAGATGCCCAACGTCCTTGGAAATGACCCTCGCCCTCGTCGTGCTTTGTTGATCCTCTTTTTGACGACCCCTGCCCCCTTCACGACTGATGTCTAGGCCTCCCAATTGGGGTCCAAGCAGGTGGGGTCGGAGGATCACGCCGCATCGCCGATGCATCGGCGACGACGCTCGATATGGAGCCCGATTTTGCCTTCGCCGACGTCGTCGATGGAACGCCGATGCATCATCGACGCATCCGCGGTGCGGCGCGATTCTCTGAGCCCGTCTACTCCGACCCCATGCGGGACACCTCTATTAGAAGAGGAAGGGGACTCCTCCAGCAGAGCACCAATCGGGAGGGGAGGAGGGCGAGGAGCCCCCTTCCCCTCCCCCCTCTCCCCCTCCCCTTTCATCCTTTCCCCCTCTCCCCCCTCTCCCTCCCCCCTTCCCCTCCCCCCTTCCCCTCCCCTTTCCCCCCCTCCCCCTCCCCTGTCCCCGGCGCCCGGCGGGCGCCGGAGCGCGCCGGTGGCGCCCGCTGCCGGCGGCAGGCCGCCAAGGGGCCCGTGCTCCTCGCGATGGCCGACGCAGGTGCGCGCGAGGGGGCGCCCGCAGGGAGGGCCGGAAGGTCGAAGAGGCGAGGGCCTAGCCTAAGAGGCGAACAGGCGAAGGTCGAACAGGCGAACAGGGTCGGAAGGTCGAAGAGGGTCGGAAGGGGAACAGGCGAACAGGCGAACAGGACCTAAAAGGCGAACAGGGTCGGAAGGTCGAACAGGCGAAGGTCGAACAGGCGGAAGGCCGAAAAGGCCCGAGGGGCGAGGGGCAGGAGATGTGTGCCGCGTGGGGCCCTCTCGGGGCGCCCTCCCGGAGCGCTCCTGGGGCCGCCGCTCGGCCCGTCGCGGGGCCATCCTGGGCGCGTGGGATGGAGTCGGGCCGGCCCCTCCACCGGAGGGCCATTCCAAGCTATAGTCAAACAACAGTCTGTGCACGGTCTTTGGAAGATATTTGTTCCTTCTGCTTTGGGGGTCGTGGTTGGCGATGTTCCATTCTTCGCCCCAAAGTGCGCCTGCAGGGGGACGTGCCCGACCTGAGCGTAGGAGGTCCAGCCTCGGGCTGCGCACGGGCAGCCCCCCCATGGCGCTCCGGGCCGGGGCGCGGAGCGCATTCGGGGCGCGACGCGGGAGGCGGCGCCGGGGTGTGGAGGCCGCCCCGGGCTGACTCTGTCGGGGGCGTCTGCTGAGGCCAGGCTGGTCCGGGGGGGGGGGAGGGGCACTGGCACAGAGGCACAGATCATCGTCGCAGAACGCAAGTAGAACCGTAGGGAACTTCTGGAATGTGTGTGTGTGTGTATGTGTGTGTGCGTGTGCGTGTGCGTGTGCGTGTGCGTGCGCGTGTGCGTGTGTGCGTGTGTGCGTGTGTGCGTGTGTGCGTGTGCGTGTGTGTGCGTGTGTGTGTAGGTGTGTGTGTGTGTGTGTGTGTGTGCGTGTGCGTGTGCGTGTGCGTGTGCGTGTGCGTGTGCGTATATGTGTGTGTGTGTGTGCGTGTGTGTGTGTGTGCGTGTGTGTGTGTGTGTGTGTCTCCCTGGGCCTATTCAGTTGAGGCTACTCGGGGGGCCTACCGAGGCCAGGTTGGGGTTAGCTCGGGGGGGGGGCTGCGGAGGGCAAACCTTAAGACGGGCCTGTCCCTCTAAAGGAGGAACATTCGAAAATAGTCCAAAAATGGTCTGGGGAATGCATTCGGGGAGCATGTGTTGAGTCTTTTTTTGATCTACCGTATAAAATCCCCCTGTAGGGGGACAGGCCCGACCTAAGGCAAGCCAGGAATGCCCGGAGGTGGGGCGGCGCTCCGCGCGCAGGCCGAGGGCGAGGGCGAGTTGCACAGAGGGCGGGGCCCAGAAGCAGGGTGGGCAGGAGGAGGAGGAGGAGAAGGAGGAGGAGGAGGAGGAGGAGGAGGAGGAGGAGGAGGAGGAGGCGGAGGAGGAGGAGGAGGAGGAGGAGGAGGAGGGGAGGAGGAGGAGGAGGAGGAGGAGGGGGAGGAGGAGGAGGAGGAGGAGGAGGAGGAGGAGGAGGAGGAGGAGGAGGAGGAGGGGGAGGAGGGGGAGGAGAAGGGGCAGGAGGAGGGGGAGAAGTGCCACGTCGGCCAGGGGCAATGGGATGAGGTTGAGGACGTCGGCCACGCCGGGGAGGAGTGTGGGGAGTCGGGTGGGGTGGGGGGGGGGCGAGAAGGTCGGGAGGGGTTCGGGACGAGGCACAGAGGTGGCGGTCGGTGCCCCTCTTCTCCCTGTCCTCGCTCCTCTTTCTGATCATGTTCCTTCCCTCATCCTCGTTGCTTTTCTTGCCCGGCTCCTGATTCCCACTCCTCCATCCATCATCCGCTCTCCCGCCTACCTCCTCTCCCTCCGCCTATTCATATATACCTCCCTCCCCGCTTCTGCCCTCCTGCATGGGGTTAGCTGTTATCTGTGCGAGCAGAGCGGCCCGGGTGGCGCGCACGAGTGCGGCATGCACGCAGCGCTCCAGTACTCGTTCCACCTTTCCATTGCACATCTATATACACACTTACTCTGATACGCGCATCTATATACATGCATGTGCATACATGGCAATGTACATATGCATGAGTTTTACACCGATCTACGCACTGTATACTAACACAGCTGTAGAGGGAGAGACAGAAAGAGTGAGCGGGAGAAAGAGAGAGAGAGAGAGACCAGGATACGTTACACCGAATGGCACAAGGCGCCATGGATGAAGCCGTTGTCTATATTTTCGCAGCAGGAGCTCCCAAATGAGCACCGAGAGAACGGGAACGTTAGGCAGCCAATCCGCTTTAAATCAGCATCGTTAGACTTATTCTCATGCCCAGTGAGCCAGGGCTCCTTAGCGCCACCAGCCTGCCCCCTCGAGGTTAGGAAGGATGCCGCGAGGCCCGACGAAGGCGGCGTCTATCGTCACCCAGGGGGGGGGGTCTGCTGGGCAGCGGGGCCGAGGCTTTCCCAGCGGAGATGGGGGTAGGTCTAGCCATGTCCATGTGACTGCTCATCATCATCATCATCATCATCATCATCATCATCATCATCATCATTATCATTATCATCATCATCATCACTTTCATCATCATCATCATCATCATCATCATCATCATCATCATCATCATCATCATCATCCTTATCATCATCATAATCAGCATCATCATCATCGTCACCATCCTCACCACCATCACCACCATCACCACCATCATCATCGTCATCGTCATCGTCATCGTCATCGTCATCGTCATGATCATCATTACCATCATTATCGCAGACGGTGCCCTCGCCGCCAACATCAGCATCATCACAATCACCATCATCATTATTCAATCGCTTCGCTCATTCAGCCGGACCACATGGCGCGCCTTGCAATCCTTTTGCGCTTCCTGGATCCTCGGCGCTCTCCAAAGCGCCCAAGATTCGTCCCAGATGCAAGAGATGGCTTCCAAGACGAACCTGGGCGGCCCCCAAAACAGCCGAAGAGGTCCCAGAGAAGCCCCAAGGGCGCTCCAAGAGGTCCCCCAAGAGGGCCCACAGAGACAACATTTAGTGATTTTGATTGTGTTCTTCAATGTGTTTCACGCTATCGCCTCTTCGAGAAGGAAGGAAGGAGAGGAGGAGGAGGAGGAGGAGATGAAGAGGATGAGGAGGAGGCCTCTCGATCGCTTCTTGGGGCATTTTTGGACCAGACTTGATCGTGGACAAGACGCATTTTTGAGAGGCTGCTTGGGGTCTCTTGGAAGGCCTCTCGGGAGCCTTTTGGCGGTATTTTTGGGACCTCCTGGGGCCACTTGCGGGCACCCCGGGGCCTATTGCGAGACTCTCAGGGGGTTTCTTGGGGCCTTGTGGGGGCCTCTCCGGGCGGAGAGCTGACATGTCCGTTCGGGTGCCTCCTCAGGGCCCGCTCTTGAGCTCTCTTGGGGGCCGTCTTGGAGGGCTCCTGGAGGGCTCTTGGGCTGTCTTCGGGCCCCCTGGGGCCGGTTCGGGGCCCTCCTGGAGGCGTCTTGGGTCGTGTTGGGGTAATTTTCGGGGCATCTTGGGCCGTCTTGGAGCGCGGATAAGGCGAAACGGCGAGAACGCCTAAATCCTGGAACCCCCCAGAGGACCCTCTGGGGAGGGTTCTTGGTGGCCTCTTGGGGCGTTTGAAGGGCGTCTTGGGCCATCCGACGGCCACATTGGGCGTCTTGGACCGATCGTTCGACGACTGGCAGCCCTCTTGGACCGTCTTGGCGGCCGTTTGGGTCCCTCTTGGAACGCTCTGGAGGGCCTGAAGGGCGGCGCCCAGAAAAGAAACCACTTTTCGTCCGGAGACCCCCTGGGGCCGCCCCGCGTGCTCAAAGTAGAATGCTGTGAAGCAGCCGCTGGAGGTCTTAGCACGCCTCTTGCCCGTTGGGCCGGCGAATTGTTGCCCCATTTCTTGTCATGGTCATCACCATCATCATCATCATCATCATCATCATCATCATCATCATCATCATAAAATTAATAATAATAATAATCATCATCATCATCATCAGCATCAGCATCAGCATCAGCATCAGCATCATCATCATCGTCATCGTCATCATCAGCATCATCATCATCCTTATCATCATCATCATCATCATCATCAGCATCATCATCATCATCATCCTTATCATCATCATCATCCTTATCATCATCATAATCATCATCATCATCATCATCATCATCATCATCATTATCACCTTCAGCATCTCTATCATCATCTTCATCATCAGCATCATCATTATACTCATCATCAGCATCGTCTTCATCATCGTCATCGTCATGGTCATCGTCATATCCATCATCAGCAGCATCGTCATCGCCATCGCCATAAATAGCAGCATCATCATCATGATCATCATTATCGTCGTCACGAGCATCATTCACATCATTATTGTCGTCACCATGATCACTGTCGTCATCTCAATAACCATCGCCATCGCCATCACCACCACAATCATCACCACTATTACCATCATCACCATCATCGCCATCAGCAGCAGCATCGCCATCATCCACAACAAACACCATCATCATCGGTTGCATCACCATCATCCTCACCACCATCACCATCACCATCACCATCACCAACATCACCAACATCATCATCGTCAGCATCATGATCATCGTAAGCACCATCATCTGCATCATCATCGCCATCAGCATCGCCATCACCGTCACCATGATAATGATGACGATGATCAGCATCATCAGCAGCAGCAGCAGCATCATTCTCCTCGTCGTCGTCGCTGCCGTCCCTCCTGCGACGTTGCAGCAGGCGGTTCTGGACGCGTTATGGTTGCCGGGCCTGTTGCCGCGGGCTGTCGGTCTGGTCGGTCGTTTACATGTCTGTGCGCCTGGACGCCACGGGCCATCATCACCATCGAAATCATCGTTACGGTAGGTTCGCGTCGTGTCGTCCTGCAGCGACCCCAGCGCGGGCCTGTAAAATCGAGCGCAGCCAGTGGCCCAGAAGCGGTCGATGTTCAACGATCCTGCGATTCTGAAACGGCCGATCGTTCAAGCTTGAACGATCCAAGCAGTGCCGAAGCGTCCTGGCTCGCCTATAGGCCCACCGAGGAATAGTCTAAGAACCTTCTGTGGTCTGCACGAAATGTTTTCAGAACCTTTCTTGCTGAGACTGTCTTGTCTTAACGCGTCTGTTTTTTCTCTAAGAACCCTTGCTTTTGTTCTGAGGGCATTCCTGGGCTGCAAGAACATGCCGTGGTAGGACTTTTGGAATGCCAGGGCGGTCGGTCCCTGCTCAAACGATCCCGCGGCGTCAGGAGCCAACACGGTGGGCCGACACGACGCGGACCTGCTGTAGCATCCGGCCCCCTGCTCCTGCCCGTGCCGGCCGGCGCCCTCCGCGCGCCAGCGTGGGAGTGGGTCAAGTGGTACGTCGCGGAGCCGCCGGACGTGGACGAGCTGCCTGCGGAAGACCCGCACGGGCGGGGAGGGCTGGCGGCGCGTAGATCGGGCCGGACGAGAGGGGGGGATTGGGAAAGGAGGGGGTACGAAATCCGCTGCGTGCAGCTGGTTTCGGCCCCACCGAGGGGCCTGTTCCTCGATACATGGCCGCCTCTGGCAGATGGCGCCGGGAAAATCAGCCACGTGAGCTGATTCTCCCCCCCCCCCCCCTTTGCTATCCCCCCCTTTCGCCCGGTACGAGTAGAGGGGGGTTAGGAGGAGGGGGGAAGGCTTCTTCGAGGGAGGCTGCTCCTCAGAAGGTGCGATCCTTGTCTGTAGATGTAAGGCCCGCGGCTTCTAAGAAGCCTTCCCCCCTTCCCCTACCCCCTTGCGCGCGCCGCCAAGAAGAGGGGAGCAGCATGGCGAGTGTCGGAGGTCAGTCGAGAGAACGGCGGCTCCCCCTGACGTGTGCTCGTCCTCCTTGGGGCTTCCACTGAGGCTCCTCGCCGCCACGGCCAGGAGCCGCCACGAAGAATTTTCTTGAGATGCCGGCGTCGCGTTCTTGCCAGGACCAGCTTGTGGAGTGGGGCCCTCGCCTTGACTTCGCAGCGCCCAGTGTTTCCGCCTCCTCTCCTCTCCTCGCCTCTCCCCACATCTCCTCTCCACTGTCACAATAGTTCGATAGGAGTACTGCGCTCCTCCCCCCCCGAGTATGTGCTGAGAGTGTCCGCCCTCCTCCGCGTATTTTTTTTACACATGCTGCAGGCGAATTGGCCATTCCCAGGTGCTCTTCCAATCCGAACTGTTTCGGTCTTGTGCTCCCGCTGCAGCGCGTGCCTCATCTTAGGATCGGGGCTCTACTCCCGTTGTTCCGAATGACACCCTCACAACAACGCAGGCGACTTTTCTGGATCCGAGTCGTTCCTCATCGTTGTCGCCCCTTTCTTTCCCCTCCTCCCCTCTGGCTCCTCCGGCTCTTGCCACTCCAGTTCTTTATGTTTCTCTTCGTCCTCGCCTTCTCTCTCTTCCTCATCCTCCTTGTTCCTCCTCCTCCTCCATCTGCTCGTCCCCCCTTCTTCCTCCTATGTGCGCAGCTGCCATTTTTCCGATTGCGCCTAGCAGGATTGTTTGTTGGAGCTCCAGGCCCATACGGTCCAGTCGGGCATGTCCTTCTCAAGGAGAAGATTCAGAACGAGTCAAAAGTAGTCTGGGGACGATGTTGTGCATGTTTGGACGATGTTTGAGCATGTTTCGAGTTGTTTTTCATTGTTCGTCCAACATCCGCCTGCAGAAGGACAGGCCCCACTCAAGCCCACAGGAGAAGTCAACGCACTGGGAAGGGCTGGGTGGTGGGGGGGGCCCGATGTTCGAGAGGGCGCGAGCGCACCTAGCTTGCCCTTCCCCACTCTCCTCCCTCCCCCCATCCTCTGCACCCATCCTATTCCATCCCTGCCCCATTCTCCTCCTCCTCCTGCTCCTCCTCCTCCTCCTCTCTTCTTCCGTTATCCTGCCTCCTCCCGCTCTCCTACCTCCCTGCTCCTCCCTCCTCCTACGCCTCCTAACCCATTCTCCTCCCGCCTCCCATCCCTCACACGCTCCGTGGCCCCATAGGGAGCTCCGCCGTAGGCCCCAGCGGCAGCGCCCGCATGGCGACAGCGCACCCATGTCTGCACACCCTTCAACGTCTCGTGGCTCCACGGAGACTCCGCCGACGGCCCCGGTGGCAGCGTCTGCGTGGCGGCACCCCGCCCATGACTGCACGTCCCCTACACGCGTCGTGGCCCCACAGGGAGCTCCAGCGAAGGCCCCGCACCCAATTCGGCACACTCCTCGGGGGCTCCGCCGAAGGCCCCCGCGGCAGCGGCCGCACGGCGGCACCAACGCCGCTTCGGCACGCCCCTCGCGTGCGTCGTGGCCCCGCTGGGAGCTCCGCCGAGCACTCCAGTGGCAGCGCCCCCCCGCATGGCGGCACCGCGCCCCTCTGGGAAGGACCCCGCGGCAGCGTGCGCATGGCGGCACCGAGCCCATCATCGGCACGCCACTGTGGCGTCTTTGTGGGCCCACAGGGATCTCTGCCTGAGGCCTCCTCCTGCTCCTCCTCCTCCTCCTCCTCCTTCTCCTCCTCAGGCCCCAGTGACAGCGCTTGCGTGGCGGCACCGCGCCCCTGTCGGCACCCCCATCGCGCGCCTCGCGAGTCCGCGGGCGGCTCCAGCGGCGGCTCCAGTGGCAGCGCCCGCACGGCGGCGCCGCACCCGTCTCGGCCCTCGCACGCACCGTGGCCTCACCGGGGGCTTCGCAGAAGGCCCCCGTGTCAGGGCCCGCACGGCTGCACCGTCTCACGCGTGTCGTGGCCCCGTAGGGAGCTCTGCCGCAGGCCCCAGCGGCAGCGGCCGCATGGTGGCAGCGCACTTATTTCGGCACTCCGCTCATACGTTTCGTGGCCCCCCTCCCTCATCTGATCTCACCTGTTTCGGGATGCGCGAAAGTTGCGTATGATTGACACCGTCACCGCGACAATTACAGCGGGGCGTTTCCCGGGGACCCTCAGGAACCGATGTAGCTCGAAACGAAAATGGAGCTGACAGATGGGGTCTAGGGTTATGATGTTCCAACCTAGTTTAGGCTTGATCGCCAGAAAAAGTTTCGAGCACCAAAAAGTACGTAAACTGGACGGTTTTCGCGTGTCGGGCCCTGGGAGGCGATACTTGTTCGACACTGTTTCGACGCTTTTCTGGGTGCTCGAGATCATTTCTGGGATGTGGTCCTTAAGCGCGATGGAAGCAACATAGGTCTGGGGCTCTGGCCGCGCGTCTCTTCTCACGATGCTGCATCTTTTTCGCAGCGACGTCGGATCTCCAGGGACGGGTCAGGGTGGACCCTCGGGAGGGGTCCGGGGGGTCGTTTGTCGTGCGGACCTGTCCTGGGGTCGTAAGCTTGCTGCCGTTTGCGGCCCAGGGGACCCGCCAGGGCCCTGGCAGCGTCAAACAAGGAGTCGGGAAGAAGAGCTGGCCCCAGGAGAAGGCCCTGCAGGGTGTCCAGGCCACAATGCCGGACGAGTTAATCCAAATTAGTTCTCGCCTCTCTCTGGGGGGCTGGGGTTTAACCTCCGGTTCAGTTTTGCGGGGGCGCCAGTGGAGGTAGTCACGGACCCCCGCCTCCTCCGCAACGGCGTGGTCGCCTTGCGCTTCTGCGCGCGCGAACTCGATTGGGCCCGTTCCGAACTTCGGGGGCGCGCCGCGGAGCGCCACTGGAGCGGGCGCATGGCGGCGCGCTGGATCAAACAGGGGCCACGCGGGCGCCGAGGACTCGCGCGCCTGCCCGGGGCATCTCTGGAGGGGGCAGGGCAGGCAATGCGACCGCGGACTGCTTGGCAGGGGCAGCGCGGCGGATATGGAGCGGGACCCAGAAGAGGAGGAGGGTGGACGAGAGAGCTAGGCAGGAGGAGGTGGATGAGAGGACGCTCGGGCGGTGTTGGATGCGAGACGAAATGACATCATCAAGGGCAGGAATGCGAGATGGAAGCGCGAGGGTGACAGAGAAAGAGAGACATAAACAACACGTGTGTGCGTGAGCGCGGGAGGAACCACGCAGAGAGCGAGAGTGAGGACACCGCAACAATAACCGCCACCCCCTGATAAACATTGGGTTCCCCTTTTTCACCGTTGAGAGTTCATTATCCCTGGACAATACAGGTTTGGCCAGGGAAGAGAGGCGGCAAGGCCGAACTTTTGCATCGCGGAGGAAAGCTGCGAATCGAAGTTGCTCTCTGCACGTGGAGCAGCAAGGATTTCTAAGGCTTCCGATTAATTTCGTAGGCCTTCCGCGCCCAGCCCGATGTCTTCGTATCCCCGTTGTCTCTGTTTTTTTCTCATGCACTCAAATGAGTCGCCATGGACGACTCCTGCACATGTGCCGTTGAAGATGTTTCGAAAGAGTTGGGTTTTGCATTAAAGCAATCCTTAAGTACCGATTTGAAGTTTTTTGGGGAAAATTGGTCTTGGGTTTCCTCCTCCTCCTCCTCATCCTTCTCATCCTCCTCCTGTGGGTTTCCATTGGGATTGCACAGATTGCCGAAGGAACCCGATGGATTTCGCCAAGATTCCGATGGATTATGTAAGGATTCCGATGGGTATCCTAAGGAGTCCAGTGGGCGTCCATCGGGTTTTTATGGATTTCGAAAGGATCCTTCTGATTTTCTCATTTTTCGTATGAAGACTCAAGATCAGCATGATCATCACCATCGTCTTCATCTTCATCATTATGCTGGTATCTCCAGGAAAACGTTGATTACCCCCCCTTATCCGGAGCTGTCCGCTAACGAGAAACGAAGAGTGGAGACGGGAAACAGAGAGAGAGAGAGTGAGAGACACAAGCAAAAGAACAAGGGAGAGGGAGAGAGTCGGATGACGGCGAGGATCAGGAGTGGATGGGCGTTTTTGGATCTCCGCGACCTCGCCCCTCCCCTCCCTGCCTCCTGTGTGTTCCTCCCCCGTCACGCCCACCCCCTCTTCATCATCCCCACTTCCAGGACGGGGAGTGCTGAAGCGGAGGGGGGTGGGCGTCCACGGACGGCGAGGAAGGAGGACGGAGGAAAGAGTGAGACAGGAAGGGGAGTGGAGGGATTTCCTGCCCCTCCCGTCCTCCTTCCTGCCCAGCCCCCCCCCCTCATCATCGCGGAGGGTTGGCCCAGGCCGAGACGGGCCCGCGCCGCCGACCCCCTCTGCTGAGGGCCGGGGGTGGTTGGCGCCGCTGTGCTGCTCCTGCGGCAGGGTGCCCGCGGTAACCGCCTGGCTCGCTCGCACTCCTCCTTCTCTTATGGGGGCAACGACGGGGGCGATAGGCAGAAGGGGGATGCACCGACCTCGAATGGTTGATACATCGACGACGCATCGTGGACATCAGGGCGATGCTTCGACGATGTATAGAATTTGAATTGGGTGGTCTGCGTCGACGATGTACAGCCGATATGTGTATATCTATATATATATGTATATGTATACATACATATATATATATATATATATATATATATATATATATGGATTTGCAGTTCCATATATTAGCCATCCAAGGTCGATAAGTCCTCCCCTATGCACATCCCCCTCTGTTCAATGTTGGAGGTGTTATTCGGTGCCGGCCTCCAGGGGCCCGTGTCGGGCCACGGGACCCTCAACTTTGGACCGGGGGCGGCGGACAGCTACCCCCAGGAGGCCGGACTGGAGGGCCTGGCAGTGAACAAGTTTTGGGTAATCCGAATTTATGGTCAGCACATCTGTCATTTGAGCATGGACATGTTCACGAAGCGGAGCGTGTTGTGCAATCCATGTCGGTGCCAGCTCTGGTCGCATGACCCCCTCGGCGGCCTTCGCAGCCAGTGGGGGCGGTTCGACACGCATGAGACATGAAGGTGGCTCACCTGATGAGAGGAAGTGAGAGCATTGCCCCCCCTGCTCTTGTTGCCCATCCCTCCCTTCACCCACTCGCATCGTGAAACCACAAACACGGTGCGAACTGTTTTTTGTGAGTTGTTCCATGGCTCCTCGGCGGGCTAGGGTCTCTCACCGACCCCGTCGTGCAAGTGTCTGCGCACAGGATACCCGGGCGATTTCCACCCAGACGTGTCGGTAGAGCGAGTCGGGCGAGTCGCCCGAGGTTACTCGGAATTGAGGAGAAGAGGGAGGAGGAGGCGGAGGAGGAGGAGGAGGAGGAGGAGGAGGACCCCCTTTCCCTCCTACTTGTGGTGGTGGTGGTGGCAAACACGCTCACCACTTCCCCCACGCCCTGCCGGAGGGCCGCGGGGCCCCGGTCCTCCCCTCGGAACGGGGGCTCTCTCGCCGGAGCCGGGCAGGCCCGCAGGGCCCTTTCGTCGTGCAGAGGTGTGCCGTCCCGCACTCGAGGGCCGAGGAGGAGGAGGAGGATGAGGATGGGAGGGAGGGAGGAGGAGGGAGGAGGAGGAGGAGGAGGAGGAGGAGGAGGAGGAGGAGGAGGAGGAGGAGGATAGAGGAGGAGAGGAGGAGGAGGAGGAGGAGGAGGAGGAGGAGGAGGGGAGGAGGAGAGGAGGAGGAGGAGGAGGAGGAGGAGGAGGAGGAGGAGGAGGAGGAGGAGGAAGAGGAGGAGGAGGAGGAGGAGGAGGAGGAGGAAGAAGAAGAAGAAGAAGAAAAATAAGAGAAGAGGAGGAGAGGAGGAGGGGGAGGGAGGAGGAGGAGGAGG